TGCTACTTGGGCACTTTCAAAGGAGGAAATCCAACTTGGACTTAATCACCAACAAGCAAAATGCCATTAGTGTGTGCCAGAAGCAAAAACCTGATGGCAGATGTATTGTAGAAGTATTACTAACACAATGCCACACACAAAACCTAATGGTCATTGCTTCAACCATCAGCTAAACACATCTAGAATTGCAGTAGCAGGCAAGTTATCAGATTTATATGTTAAGATGTGTGCCAAATAAACCGGAGGACATGGTTAGGCGAGCCCATGCCCCACCCAGTAACAAAACACATGGAAGAATTGAAGTGACACCATATGTCAGGAGATGAGAGACATTCTAGACCGTTCCACTGGAGGCAGCCTGTGGAAGACTCACCCAGAGATATATACACACACACCCCTGGGCAAGCTTACACTTGCCCCAGGCAGGAAAGGTTACTTGTATTTACCTTCACTTATTGTCTATATGTTTTTCAAAGACACCTTTGTTTAGTTCCCACAAAGAAAACAACCCCAAAGTAGGAAGGGAGGAAACATTGACCTTTTGGTGATCAATGAGTTATATCACCAGTAGCCACAGTCTACGAGGCATTACTCTGAAAAACAGACAACGTCTACAGCCCTAGGCTTACTGTGAATGACAGGGAAATGGGGAGGAGACTTAGACAGGAGGGAAGGGAAGCAGAGGAATCTTGGGAATCCATTCTCCTGCAAGTGTCTTAACTGAATGACTTCCAATATGCATGCATTTCCCCTTAGCCACACAGTCAAGGCAGCTGCAGATCTGAGACCTAAATAACAAAGGCCTCTTGTTTGTGTCCCCTCATAGCTCTTAGTGACCTCTTTGGAGACGCTCTGGACAGTGATCATGCGACCCAAGCCCACCCACAGTCCTGAGTTTATTTGTAACCAAGCATCGCTGGCAGGTGGCTTCTGATGCCTAAATATGTGATAGGGTTTTCCAGTGATTTGGTTTTATACAGAGCCAGCAGAAAACAAAACAACCAAGATGCCAAAGACACAGGTGGTACTCGCAGTAATTAGTGGAACAACATGGTAGCACCAGCATTTCTGGATGAAAAGAGGACTCCGAATTGACATAAAATTGAGTATCCAATATATTTAAAATACGCGAACATATGCAAAGCATGACACACACAACTCTAATGGTATCATATCGTTGGTTAGTCATTAGTGGACAGACGTTTGAAATGAAAGATAAAAAACTCAGGCTCAAAATGAATAACCATGAAAAACTGGCAATGTTATTATATTATCTGAACTTTGATGGAGTGAGTTCTTAAAATTCATAATCATGGTTCCCATAGAATTAAGAGCATATTTACATGCAAATTTATGTGCTTAAAAAAAAAAAAAAAGGACTAGTCGGAGATATAGTGATACATTTGAGAACTTCCTCCAAATATTTTTTTCTGACTCCTTGATCTTCATATAATCCCAGCTCTTATCTGATAACTTTGAGGGGTGTTGTTAGTGGCTAAAACTCTGGGGTGGGAGGCAAACCCATCTGTTTACCTCAAGCAGAAATCTGCTTGAAAGCAAGCAGTGAGCACATCCTACCTTTTGTCACTTTGCTCTTCCATGGCAGATTCCAACAGCCAGGAGATCCCAACATCCCACAACTCATGTACTTTACACGCAATTCTCACATGACAATGTACATCCTCAAGCATTCCCCATTGTGATCCATGCCCGTGAAATGGAGGCTTAGGCCTTACTTAGCCAGTTATGGCAATGTCAACTGAGTGGGCAGTTCCCTAATTTCTATGTAAGACTCCAACTTAGCAGACAAGAGTGTCCTCTGCTGGCTTTGAGACAATATCCTGTCACGTAGCTACGGAATGTCATAGAGCATAGAGTGATGGGTAGTTCCTCTATAAGAATGGATCCGGTTGACAGCCACAGAGAAAGTGAAAGACTCAGTACTCCAAGTTCAACTGAATGCCACAACTTCATGAGCTAAAGGACAAACCCTGAGCCCTGATAAAGGACCAGAGGAGCCAACAGCTTGCTTTGTGAGACCGTAAGCAAAGCTGGGGTTAGCTGCACCTGGACTCAATGAGTGAAAAAAGATTTAAAGCCTGTATTTGTGGTGATTTGTTACGTAGCAACAGACAACAAAAATACATGGTTTCTGCTATGGTTTGGATCTGAAACATCCTGCAGGCTCATGTTTTGAACACGAGGTCCTCGTGTGGCATTGTTTGAAGGCTGTGTGGCTTTTAGGAGGTGAAGCCTCCTTGACAGTTAGGACAATAGGGATATACCCTTGGAGGTTATAACCATCCCTGGTTCCAGTTAGCTTTCCCTGATTTGTGTCTAGGCAAGTACTGTTGCCTCACACTCCTCTACAGCTGGAGCCATTTGCCATGGTTTCCCTGCTATGACAGACTTTGATTCTCTGAAACCGAGAGCCAAGACAAGCATCTGCCCTCTTCAGTTCTTCTGAACTATTCTGAACTAGGGCTATTTGGCCCTAGCGACATAGAAGGAACTGTCGGAGTTCTAATTCTCATTATGCTCAAATAATTATGTTCAGCTTTGACAATTATTTTGTCCCCTGTTTATTGTCCTAGTTGTTATTGCTGTTTGTTTTTGTTTTTGTTTTCCAAACAGAGACTCATTATGTAGCCAGACCCTGAACTTTAAATCCTGCTGCATCAGCCTCGTGAGAACTTGGATATGGACATGCACCATTATACCCAGAATGTGATAAAATACATCCTGAATAATAGAAATATAGATGATTACTCTATACATGTATTGCCTGTGTAACTTAAAAGTTCACTGATGAATATACCTTTCTATGGAGGAATCTTGAGACACAAATTAACTACACACCAAAGTGTGGGGTTTTTTTTTTTTGGTGGGGGGATACTTAAAAGTTAGCAGATGGGGACTGGAGAGATGTCTTGGTGGACAAGAGAGACCTCTTGCAGGAACCCAGAGGGTTCCCAGCACCCATGTCGGGTGGCTCACAACTGCCTGTGACTCCAGCTCTGAGGGACCTGACACCTTCCAGCCTCTGTGGGCAACTGCACTCATGTGTACATACCATACACATAAATAAAAATATTTTTTAATTCGAAGGTATATCTCTAAACAAGCACTTGGTTTATTTGCTGTTGTTTTGAGGGAGAGGTATACCTCACTTTTAAAAAGTAAAATACTCTTTTACAATATTGTTAAGAATTTATAGGATCATTAGGACAGGCAGAGAGAAACTGTGGACTTCAAGCTCAGCATTCCAAATGTTAACATCTTCCATTAATAAGGGTGTGTATCACAACCAATAAACCATAAAGCATACCACATCTCATTGCTGAGCAGTCTCCATACTATCAATTCTTTCTTAGCTTTATGTCCTTTCAGTGTCCTGGTTGCATCCCAGAGTCAACTGGGATATGATATGACATCCAGTCACAATGTTGGCCTGGGCATCAGCCTGGGATAGTTTCAACGTCATTTGAGTTTAACTACATTGATGGCTTTGAAGAGTTGTGGCCAAGCATTTAGGATTGATAAATATTAGAATTCATCTTATGTTATCCTCATGATTACAGCCAGGGAATGTGGGGGGGGGGGAAATCACTATAGCTCAAACATGCCTTTTATTAATACTATGGGTGACCATGTGAACTCAACTCCCTGGCAGAGGTGAGATTCTCCAGGGCAGGAGACAATCCTGTCTGAAGCAGGATTTGTCGGGTTCTGCCATTGCCTTTTCACCCTCCCCATTCTGCACTCTTTGGAAGAAATCGCCACTGTAGCCTGTGCTTTGTGTCCTGTCTGCGTACTAGCTGGGATTCTTCTGCTGGGGGGGGGCGGAGCTCCATCATTTATTATTTATCCACCCAATCATTGCTATGAGTGCAGGGATGTACCATTCACTTTGGGTTACAGCTCAGTGCTGTTTTGTTTATTATGTTGCTGATGTTGTCCCAGCCATTGGGGGCTCTTGCAACTGGGTCCCACATTTGTGTGAGGGGGCGGTAGAGAGTGCTTTATTTTCTTTTTCGTTTCTTCAGTTTCTGGCACTGTTGGATACTCTAAGCTCATCTTGTGTATTTCCTGCCCTAGTCTTAATCAACCCTTTCCCCCCACCAGGAAACCTGCTTTCAATGCAGAACAGAACTGGGAGGCAGGGTCTGAGAGGCAGAGTGCTCATTTTTATAGCCATGTCAATGCTTCAGTGTCCTCATAGAACATGCAGATGTTACTATGTTCATTCATTTCTGGATGCGGTAGCTCACACCCAGAACCCCAGCACTTAGTAGATAGAGACAAAAGAAGTGTCGTGGAGTGAGTCTGGAGCCAGCCTGAGCTGTGGAGTGAGGACCCTGTCTTTGAAAACCAGAGACGGAGAACAATAAAATAAAATAAAAATTTAACGAGCATTTAAATGGCACTGTATCAGCCAGTGAGGCGGTACTATTAGACCCATTGTACGGGTGAGAACACCGAGTCACAGAGAGGAGCTGACATATGTGTAGCCATTAAGTAGCAGAACCAGGGATCGAACCCAAGCATCCAGACCCAGATTTGTCACACTTCCCAGCGTTCCACATTGCCTCAAGGCAGGGGCCAGGGGGACTCACAGAGCTGCTATCTCAAACTGTCAAGTCGCTTAATCCATCTACACATTCCCAAGACATACATGTGCCCATTAGGAGCCAGGCTCTGCTGTAATCTATGCCTGGCACCATCTGAAAGGCCTCTCTGTCTGCGGCTCAGCTCGATGACAGGGAGGTTGCTGCAGTGTGCCCCTGGAGAGCATGTGAGCGCTTTTTAATTTACCCCTGTCCATTTAGTTCCATCAGCTTTAAAGAGATGGCTCACTGTCCCTCCTATCCATGATCCCATTCCTGTTGCTGCTGTTCGCTGCTAAAATATCTGAACAAAACGGTGTTTGTGAAAGCCGTTGAACAACAAACCCGGGATCCCATGTAGAGCTGAGAAGAGAGTTCTACATGAGCACTTACTTTGTGGCCGTGGCTTTCGGGTGGCTCCACAGGACCAGAGTTGAGATGATCTGCAAGAGACATGCAACATAGCAGAAGTGAGTGAAGACACCTTAACGGAGGCGCCCTCACCTCGCACAAGGGCAGCACTGGAGGTTCGAATTTGGGAGTCACTAGTGCATTTTGGGGAAAGGATTGCAAATCAACAAAACAGGCTCCTTTAGAGCAAAAGACAGAGGTCAATGCCAAGGGAGTCTGAGATTGACTTCTTATTAACATTTACAGGGTTCTGGGAGGAGGACAGAGCACTGAAGAGAAAGGACACCCAAGAAGGCAGCTGGGTCCTCAGGGTCAGCTCCTAGCACCAAAGGAGCTGCCTTCCACATAAAACACCACTATAAAGGAACATTGAGCAGTCACAACCCGCAGAACTGGGGAGATAGCGCAGCCAGGAAGGAGCTTGTCACACAGCGTGAGGACCCACATTCATCCCCAGAGCCCACATAAAAAAGCCAGGCATGATGGCACACTCTTGTAAACCAGTGTTGGGGAGGCAGAGCCAGGCAGATCCCCGGTATTTGCTGGGACTAGACTACTCTATTACTAACTAGCCTTGATGGCCAAATGGAAGACTCTGGCTTAAAAACTAGGCAATGGCTCCTGAGGTCGTCCCTCTGGCCTCCTCATTCACAGTGCACATACTTGTACCATGCATACCCACACACACACACAAACATACATACATACATATAAATTTTTGAAACATCAATTAGGAATAGTAGATGGTTCCATGGGCAAGAGCTCCTGATGACTAAGCCTGCTTGGCTGGGTTTCATCCTGGGAACTCATGGTGGAAGCAGATAACTAAGTGTAGAAAACTGATTAGATTTTTAGGGGAATAGAGTCTCAGAATCCGAGTTAGCAGCCTGGGTGAAGACTAACTCAGCAGGTCTGACGGGAAAGTTTCCAGGTGGAAGACGGGGCAGTGAGTCCCATCACTAATGGACACATGTCTGGTGTTTAAGCCCTCTCTTCAAAGGAAGAGCATTTTAATACCTCTGGGGCCACCAGTCTAGACAACCTAATCGATCTCTATAATATAATTTCAAAGCTATCAAGAGGGCCAAAACCCTCTGGGAAGACCTGCTTTAAAAATCCCAACCACATTATTGAATTAATAAGCACCAATGCTACTTTTATTGGGGATAGAAACCCAAGGACTGTTTGTCCATCCTGATTTTTTAAAACATCAACTGTAGTAATTCATCATGGCATGTTGGAAAACCGTAACTACTAATTTCTGGCGTTTGAGGATTTGGTGAGGTAGCACTTGCTGCCACACACATCTCAGTCACTATACCAAAATTCTAGTGAGTTGTGACCAAGAACTGATTACAGTTGAAACAGAACTCGGTGCTTTAGCAAAAGACTGAACCAGTTTACCCTTTGCCTCCAGAACAGAGGCACTATATTTCAGTGGGCAAACCACTGAACCCCGCATGCTCCGTAAGTGACAGACACTATCTTACGTTCAGTTTCAACCATCTAATGCTAAACAGGTTCTTGAGGCTTTCTGACTTGGTCTATACATTTAATAGATGGAGATTGTTGAGAAGATTTAGCTTAAAGAAAGGATTCTTTCTAAGCGTAATTTAGAACAGGAAAAAAAAATGTAACTAGTCGCTTTTTATAGACTGTCTTTTAACTCAAAGTTACTTTTGGTGATACCCAAACACGTAACTTAAATGACATTAGAAAATGTTTTCGTTGCTAGGGTGTGGAAATGGATGAAGTAAATCCATAACGTCTTATGCATTTTGAAGTGTGTAGTTAGCTCCAGCTCAGGCTTGATAAGGACTTATGGGGGGAGGGATGAATCAAGGAGAAAGAGTGAGCTGGCCTGCTGTGGAATTCATTGCCCTCCCCCAGCATCAGACCTCAATTGGTAAGGATTCTCTCTTCGCTGAGCCTTTGCACAAAGGTCAGATCCACTCACAGATGACTGTACACTGAAACATTCCATCTTACAGACCTCCCTCTGTACACTGAAACACACTCTACCTTACAGACCTCTGTACACTGAAACATTCCATCTTACCTATTCTTTTTTCCAACATTAATGGAAGAGTGGGCAAGGTGGGGTGGGAGGAATGTAAACTTGTAAGATAAGTCTAAACAGTAGGAAAGGCTTAGATTTCACTCTTCACAAACAGTTGTTTTCCTTAAAATGCAGACATAGAAAGGTCAGGAAGGTGGTACAATGGGCAGAGATGTCTGTCACTAACCTGAAGTCAACCCCAGGCCCCACATGGTAAAAGAGAACTAATTCCTGTGAGTAGACTATGGGTAAGACAGAATGTGTTTCATGTACAGAGGTCTGTGAGTAGACTGTGGGTAAGACAGCATGCGTTTTGTGTGCTGAGGTCTGTGGTAGATTTTGGGTAAGATAGAAAGATAGAGCCTTCCAGAGATGAGTACAGCCTGCCATGCCAGTCATGAGGGCTTCTCAAAGGCTCCAATACCAGAAGCCTCACAAAGCATCCATCCTCTGCTCCATCCCTTCTTCTAAGTGAGAACACAGCACTCAAGGGCAGATGGTAGCCTGCACCAGACACCAGCTTATAGTGGCTTAAACTTCCTAGCCTCCAGAACTGTGATAAATACATTTCTATTCTTTATAGCAGCAAGAGAAGAAAGGGCTACGTTTGTGTTAGCACATCCTCATGACCAAATACCCAACAGGAGCAACTTAGTGAAGGAAGGGTTCATTTTGGCTCCTAGCTTCAGAGAATACAGACTGCTGGCCGGGGAGGTGGGGTGGGGGGGGCGGACAGGGATGCTCTGCCTGTGGTAATGGAAGTGTGAGTTGAAGACACACACATCTTGACTGATCAGGAAGGAGAAAGCTCAGGCCAGTTCCAGAAGAGTTACCACCTTCAAGCCCCAGCTACAGCAACCCACTTATGCTGGCTGGACCACAGTCCCAAAGGTCCCATGACTTCCCAAAATGGTGCCAGCGGCACCATTCTTAAATGCATGTGCCTGGGGCCAGGAGAGACAATTCACTTTCAAAGCATCCTGCTATGTGCCTTTTTAATTTATATTATGACTCTGAGAAGGCAAGAGGATGAAGAAAGAAAAATACAGGAAGTCTGAGGTCTTGAATATTTGTTAGTAGAGATTGATCTTGGAGAAGACAGAATGACCACTAGCGGTAGATACATAGACAGGAATATGCCACCATCCTAAATCCATTTAGAGTTGGCTTTGGCTTTCCTTTAAGAGCTTTATTGGGAAGTTGATGGTTTATGAGAAAACAAATGGATGTTGCTGATTAAATTTACTTTTTCATCAGCCTGGAGTAAACTCTTTTATGACAGTGATAATGCCTAAAATGTTTTCTATTTGAATATGCAAATTTTCAAGTTTATGTGCTCCTGAAGCTATAGAGGCTGTAAGCATCTGGATCAAATACAACCTTGGAAAGTTTTAAACATTATGAGAAGATACTGTATTGGTGTAACATTACTGAGGCACTATTTCTACACCCTAGTCAGCCAAGCTACCCATTCACGCTGATGGGAGTGAGAATCATTTCTGGTCCATCAGATTTTGTGTACAAATTTTTCACCCAAAATCTGGCATTTTCATAGAACAGTACATTTAAAAAGTTCTTGTAAATAGCCTGTTACTCTTTAGGTTCCATTTTCATTTGATTTAAAGTATGTTTGATAATCAATCCGTGCTTCAAACCCATCCCTACTTTTCCTCAGGAAGTGGGACTGGTTTAATATTTATTCATCTGGAAAAAATGTACAATGGCCCAAACACAATTAAACTGAAAACAGATGATATTCATCATCCCTGGGGCATTTAGCATAAGCTAAATATACTCACAACACAACTGACCATCTCAGACCCAGCTACCAGAACCAAACCTGTGTCAAGGACAGCTGGCACTGAGGAGCCACAAAGTTTACCATATCTTAGTGTGACACAACCGCCCTGCTGCACTTCATAGAAGCATCTATCGATTGTTTTCACGTTTCCTCTCATTTCAACTAAAAATGACCGCAGAGGAGGCAGCACAGTGCACATGGGCCTCAGCACAGGACGGCTTCTGGTGTCGCTTCTCTTTCTGGGGATTGAACTTGGGCTATGTCAGATTTGTGCAGAAGATGCCATTACCCACAGAGATGACACAGCAGCAGCACATAACCATGTTTTGAAGCATTTCCTCATCTCACTTTCTACTTTTAGCCCGAGTCCATAGAAAAGGGCTAATCTGGCTCTTAAATTTGGTAAACACAAGCATTAACTATAGATAGAGGGGATTTAATAGAATTCTATCTTGCCTTTTAAAACCTTTTCTGGGCCTGCAAGCGTAGCTCAGTAGCCAAGCTTGTGTTTGCTATGCACAAGGTCTCCAGTTTGATCTCCATTAGAAACAAAATAAAACAAAACCCTGTTACTGCCAGTGTTACTATTTTCCCAGGGCTAGGTCCTCTCAGAGCTGTGTCACAAGGTATGGTTACTCTTCTTATTTATATCCTACAATTGGTCTAAAATCCAGAAAGTATGTGTATTTAAAAAAAAAAAAAAAAAGCTAAAAAGGTACACAAAGAAACCAGCCTGATTCCAGAGAACAGAGATCAGTCGCATGGGATCAAGCAAATGTCTTTAGACAACCAGAGGACGTGGAAGGACCAGGAGCAATTCTCTTCTCTGTCCAGGCCACCTACAATGGGCCACTCTGGAGAGGGCCGGCTGACTCAATTAAGGAAAAATGCAATCATCCAGTAGCCAGACCATAAGGATATCTTATCCAGGGCACACCAAAGTGCCCACTCCTGAGGAGAGAAGCCAGCTCACCGCTTATGGCAGGCAAATGACATCATTAAAACAGGATAAGTGAAAGGCAGATTCATAAACAGGGCAAGCCCCTTCTCCATCTTCCAGACTTTCCATTAGCATTTGATGTTAGCCTCACCACCACCACCACCACATGATGCTCTCTATTTATTGTTTTGGTTGTCTGTCTCTCCTCACTGGGAAGGAAGTCTTTGAGGGA